GCCGTCCGCCGATCCTCCCCCCTAACTTTGGCGCGGAGTTTGGAGCGGGTCGCGCATCTGTCTCGCTCTGGCCGGGCTTGGCGGGTTGAGCAATCCCAGCTCGAAAGCCCCGGCTGGAAAGAGAGCCCTGGAAATGAGGTCAGCCCCCAGCCCTGCCAAGGGGATCCAAGGGGAAAAGACGTGTGCGGTGTCCCGGGGGGCCTGCCAAGTTCCGTAGCATGGCTTGGTGGGCCCAGCTTCCCCCAACTTGATGCCCTCCAGATGGGCTGGCTCGACCGGGGCTGGCTGGAGAAGGCCGGGCTGAGCGTGGGATCACATCTGGAGAAGAAAGACCCCGCGTGCGCTCGCCTTTGTTCGTGGCCAAAACAGGCGGGGAGCATCTAATAGAGAATTTTAGGAGAATCCGCTCCCGAGGGGGAAAGGAATGCGGTATCTCGAAAGGGAGCATGGCTGCCCGGCGGGCTAACCAGGATGATCAGCCGGGAACGTGTTCTTTTAAGGTACAGGGGTTTGTTTCGGCTGGCTTTCCCAAAGCGTTTCAGGTCCTGTTTTCTTAAAAAGTGCCCAAAGTTGCTGACATTTTGAAAACAAATCACCACCGCCAATCTTGGGGACAAATCAACCAAAAGCATTTCTAAAATGAAAATAAAACAGATCAGCAAAAAAAGAAGAAGAAAGCAAGCGGTGGGGGGGGGGGGATAGAACAATTACCGGCAATAAAGTAACTACAATTTTTCAAACTGCCACCAGAGACATTATTTTGGAAGGCCTTCAATGAGAGATTGGACCACGGTTCATCAGCCGGGCCGGACCGCAGTTCATCAGGGCTGAAGGGCCCCGCATTCTTCCTAGATTTTCATTTACTTTTGTAAAACAAAACAACCCCACCCCCCAAATCTCACATTACTAGATCAAGTTGTCTGGACTACTGCAATTTGTTCTACGTGGGGCTGCCCCTGAAGAACGTCCAGAACCGTCAATGGCGCTCCTGATTGCAAAGAAGATTTTACAGCCATGTTGAAAGAAAACTGGTTTGCCCTTTTTTCCCACTGCGCTCCCACATGCTACGTTTGCCCCTTACCGGTGGGATTGGCACGTCAGTGCTGCGGGCGGCCGTCCATTCCCTTTCAGAAACTGTGCAATCCACCAACGGTGCAGTTTGCACAACACGGTGAGTCCCGAGCTAGCCAGCCACGTTTCACTCACCTGCGTTGTGCAAACCGAGTCCATGGGGGCAGTTTAGCGTTCTGTATGGTACGTAATCCATCAATCACGCCTTCCAAACCCAGAACGTCCCTAAATGAAGCCAGTGCCAAAAAAGTCTTCTTTAGCCAGCCCGGGTCTTGGAGATCCCTTCACCACGAGGAGATCTCCCGAGCTTCCTTGCTCGAGTAACCCTAACAGGCCAAATCAGGTGAGTGGGTGTGAGAAACATAATTTTTCTGGGAGTTGTGGTTGCGAGTTTCTCACCCGTAAGACCGTCCCCTTCCGTACTTCTAAAAAAAAACAATTAAGGCTCTTCAGCAATCTAGCCGTCATTGCTGAATTGACTGTTGGTTTTTAAAAGTCTTATAGCTACGTCAATGGCTAACCTCCAGTATAATTAACGCTTAGCGTTTTCCGATTGGGGTTTTCAGGTTTGTAATTGCGTTTTGGGTAAGGGAAGAATAATTTTCCTCCCCGAGCTGGCTGACAGGATCGCAGATTGCCTCGGAGGCCAGCCAGATGATGCCAGCGGAGCTGAGATGATGGGGAAGGAAGGAGGAGATCCTAGGTTTTTCTAGGCAGTCCCCTCCGGTTCGGTGATTCTGCCTGAGGGCAAAGAAGGGAGAACTGCGGTTCTGAACCAGC